GGCTGTGCAATGGGGGGAGGGGTGCCGGGCCGGCGGGAGCGCCCGGGGGATACTGGGCGATGGGGGGGGCTGGGCAGTGGGGGAGGGGTGTCGGGCAGGCGGGAGTGGGCATGGGGGGGCTGGGCAATGGGGGAGGGGTGTCGGGCGTGGGGGATGTGTGCAATGGGGGGAGGGATGTAGGGCGAGGCAGGAGGGGCGCCGGGCCCGCGGGGGTAGGCGCCGTGGGGAGGGGCGCAGTGGAGAGCAAAACCAGTTTTGTACACGCGGTGACCAGGCTGGATGTGTAGTTGCCGGGGGGGGGCGCTGTTTATCCATAGGGAGGGGGACGGGCTGTGCATTGGGGTCAAGGCCTAGGCTGTATGGCGCCCATGCAAGAGGGGGTGGAAGTGCGGGAGGCCAGGCTGGTGGGCGTGTGAATGGAGGGGTGGAGTGAGTCCAGGAGACCAGTGTAGTGGGTGAGGGTGTGACCTTTTCCTCCAGCCTAGGAAGGCCCCTGGAGTGAGCTGGGTGGGGATGGGAGGCCTGCCAGAGGGACCCTGCCTGTGGCAGCCCCACCCATCCACTCTTTCATTTCCCTTCCCAGGATAGTGTCTTCCCTCAACCCACTGCATGAGCAGAACGCCTGCCCAGCACCCCCCTTTTTCTTGCCCCCAAATTGCCCTCTGTGCCCCCACCCTGACCACAGCCAGCCCCCATAGTGCCTTAAAACAGCACCCCCCGTCTGTCCCCTCAGTGCCAGAGGAGTGCCCCTGAACCTGTTCCCTCAGTGACCCCACACTGACTCCCAGTCCCCCTCAGTGCCCTTGAGCTGTGGCCCCGCCCCAAATCACCATCTCAGTGCTTCCACACTGGCCCTCAGCTCTGCCACCCCTACCCTATGCCTGTTTGAGCTGCTTCTACTGTTGCTTCTGGACCTCCCTAGCCCTGTTCCCCCCTCATGCCCCACTTGTGTCACTTATCCCAGTGCTTACAGGATTCAGACTAGACAGTGTGAGGCAAGGACATGGGGGATGGTCAGTGTGAAGTGGCTGGGCCTTGGCATTTGGACACAGGGGCCCTCAGGTAAGTGCTGGGTGAAAAAAGTAGAGCACCAGAGGGGTTCACACTTGTCTGCTCTTGGGGAGGGAGCCAGGGCTTGCCCTGCCCCTTGTGCTCTGAGAACTTCTTCCAGCAGCACACAGTGACTCAAGTAGATTTCCATGAAGGAGGGAGATGTTTTCCAAAATTCTAAAAAGATTTAGAAGCTCAAATCCCATAGGTTTTCAGGCCTAGTCTACATTGGGAAGGGTTGGCTAGTATAGCTATACAGTAGAACCTCAGTTATGAACACCTGGGGAATGGAGATTGTTCCTAACTCTGAACAAAACGTTACGATTCTTTCAAAAGTTTACAACTGAACATTGACTTAATACAGCTTTGAAACTTTACTATGCAGAAGAAAGATGCTGATGTTAGCCATCTTAATTTAAATGAAACAAGCACAGAAACAGTTTCCTAACCTTCTCAAATCTTTTTAAAAACTTCATTTTTTGGGAAGTTTACATTTAACACAGTACTGTACTGTATTTGCTTTTTTTGTCTGCTGCTGCTGCCTGATTGCATACTTCTGGTTCTGAATGAGGTGTGTGGTCAAGAATGAGGTGTGTGGTTGACCGGTGTTTGTAACTCTGAGGTTCTATTGTACTGGCAAACCCTCCTAATATAGATGTAATTGATACCCATTATAACTATAACTGCACCAGGGGTTTTGCTAGTACAGAAATCCTACCCCCTAACCAACGTTACTATACTGCTAAAGGTTTCTAGTGTGGATGTGGGACTGGAGATTGCACCCAAAATGTGCTAGCCACTCTGCTGTAGATAGTGGAAAGGAAAAGTTCAACATCTCTTCTTTGAATCTGTTCTCCAAGGAGATTGCCTGTATTTATGGGAAGAGGTGATTTAGGCCTGATGTATGCACATGTTTTGTATCAGAGTAACTTGGGGTGGTGATTATTCTGAAATAAATAACACTGGCACAATTCCCTGGTCTGGATCCAGTTATACAAGTATAATGGTGTCTTATCCTGCCACAGTGTGTTCACTTTCATGAATGGGAATAAGCTGTGCTCGTAAAGCATATTCACACTGGGTATAACTGCATCCACGTCATGGGGGATTATATTGCTTTGTAGTGGCATGATGTCGTGGTTACATTTCTGGCCCCTTTTTGGCATCTGAGTGCACCTGTTGTATTAATTTGGACAGAATAAATGGCCCCAGCGTGTTAAAGGTATTAAAATGATCCTATCACTGTCCAACTGTAAACACGGTTTGGGGGGGTTGTCTACAAAGACCCTGGCACAGCTTATTCCTATGGCAAACACTCCATTACATTCTTTTTAAGCAGGAGGAAAAACTACTAAATGTAAAGTATTAAGTCTGTACTAACAAAATTCCTTGTTCCTTAAGCTGTAGAGTTTTTATAATGAAAACTCTCTGTTTGACCATCTTTTAGATGGTATTAAAGATGGTAACTGTCCTTGGGGGCAATTGTTTGCTAGGTTGGAGCTGTTGGTAAAGTCTGATCCTGTTTCCTTTAATACAAGATAAACCCATGGGAGAGGAGAACAGCAAAGATTGAAAATGCAGCTTCTCTTTGGGGCTGACTTTTATTTGCAACCTCACTGCTGGAGAAACACAGGCCTGCTCTGCGCAATAATCAGCCGCTTTGAGAACTGGCAAACTTGTATCCGCATCAGGCTAGTTAGTTAGGACATGGCATTGCTTTTGACTGCTTTGGTCACAGGCCTACAGCAGTGTTGCAAAATATGTAGCTTTGGCTAAGCCAGATGTACTAAACAGAAGGCAAAAGGAAAGTGGAAAAAATACGGTGGGGAAGGAAAAGGACACGAGTGGGAAGGTGGACAGCAATAACCAAAGTCTTACAACTCAAATGGTGTTTGGGTTGAAATAGTTGGAGGTGGGGATGTCATTTTGGTGTTGCTCTCTGGCCTGGTCTGGTGAGGGCATTGAAGGCCCAATGGTATCAGAATGGGTCCTGGGGCCCAGGAGACAGTGTGGGAGTAGCAGCTATGATAAAGTTTGCCCCTTCCATTCCATCTCTCTCAGCTAGCTAGCTGACTTCTCCCTCCCCAAAGTCTTTTTTAAGGATCCCAAAATGGAATGATGAATGTAATATCCTATCGTCTCTCCGTTCTGTCACTAGTTAAGCCTGAGTTCCAACATGCCAATTTTGGTCTGATTTCCAGTCCATACTACTTGTTTATCTAAGGTGATCTTTAACACAGTCTTTGAGTTACAGCAGTAGACCATCTCACTTTAGTACCTTTTCCCATCAACATTTGTTGCAAGTTTATAAACTGTTCCAATCTGCTATTTCTACTTTCTACTGTCAGGCTCACACTTAGGGGTAGGTCTGTGAGACCCCGATTATTACAACACCCCCTTTCAGGTTACTTATCTTGGGATGGAATTTTGCAGTGCTCCCCTCCTGGATCGGGCCCTGGGCTGCAGTAACCCTGTGTGTCTACCATTCTTACCCTCAGTTATTTTATTGGTACGATTGGTAGTCCAGGCTCAATTTGTTTATTGATCCGAGATAAGCACAATACAGAAAGGCCAGTACATTACCAACAAGCCTGGAAGACAGTCATATAAGCATTGACGCAGTGTTGTAGTCGTGTTGGTCCCTGGATATTAGAGAGACAAAGTGAGGTATTAGCTTTTCTCTGTCACCAACAGAAGCTGGTCCAATAAAAGCTTTAGTTTATACTCTTGTGTGACAGCTCAAAAGTTTCTCTCTCAACAGAGGTTGGTCCAATAAAATATATTACCTCACCTATCATGTCTCTCATCTAAGTGTTCAGTGTGTCCCAAAATGTGAGCACAAAATCTGTGTATATGTATGTAGAGTGTGTCTCATACTGGTAGAACACTCCATCCAGAGTACCCAAGGGTCCAGTTCTTACCAGTTTATCTTCTTTTAACATAGTACACCTCTACCCTGATATAATGCGACCCGATATAACATGAATTTGGATATAATGCAGTAAAGCAGCGCTCCGGCGGTTCAATGCAAGTTCGATATAACGCGGTTTCACCTATAACCCGGTAAGATTTTTTGGGGCTCCGGAGGACAGCGTTATATCTGGGTAGACGTGTATACCAGGAGTCAGCAAAGCTTAGGTGGCCTTTTTGAAACCAATTTTGTAGGTTGGCTGGAGGCAAAATCATCAAAGCTAATTGTTCTGGCATTGTCCCATAACAACTCTGAAGCATTTGCTGAGAGGTGGCTTATCTTGAGCAGTTCTTTTCTTTCCTGCTTGTTTTTCCAGACAGACTCCTTTTGAGTTAAACTAATGTAGTCATTCAGAAAGTGTCCCAGTAACCAGTCTAGCATACACTGCACATAAATAATTT